AAAGGGGGTGCGGGGTTGTTGCTTGGATGTGTACCCGAAACAGTGTATGTAGGCGGTGCAAGGTTTCCTCCATCCACCGTACTACTACTAGTACCACTACTACTGCTGCTGCTGCTACTACTACTACTACTACTACTTCTACTCCTACTACTACTACTACTACTACTACTACTGCCACTGCCACTGCCACTGCCACTACTGCTACTACTGCTGCTACTACTACTACTACTACCACCACTACAAGTGGGTGACAAACGTAGTAGTGCTGCTGCCACATTGTGCCGGGAATTTCGCGGAGAGACCAAGTCCAGAAAAGACTGTTGATCAACGCTCAAGTTCACAAAAAATCGTTGATCTCAAGGACGCCCAGTCACACCATTTCCGTTCCGGCTTTGTTCCGCGGAGCATTCCCCAGGGAGCCCTCCAGATGGCGAGCCCACAGCGAGCACTCGGAGCAGGATGACCCGGAGCTCAGGCCCTGTGCCAACCTGAAAACTTCAGGTCTAGCTTCTGTCGCAGGTATGGCAAGGCTATGGTGTCAACATGTCGTGGGCCTTGTAGCCTGTCGGTTCACTACAATTTGTTGTTTGTTTTGGCATGCTCATCCACCAAACGGGAGTGGCTGAAGAACCTCACGGTATTTTGCCGTTGTCAATGCAGGGACTGGCGCTGGCTGCAGCAGCCGACTCAAGCGCCTGCTCCGAGGAGCGCGTCGGAAGAGGCTTCTCGGCAAGGTAAACCAGTGTGGAGAAGTTAAAGCTTTTGGGATAGAGGACTTGCGCATTGCCCGGTGATCAGATGTGGAGACAGGACAAGAACTTTTCATTCTGGTTTTCCGCGGGAGGCCTCTTTTCTGTACGGCAGCTGTTGCGGAACATTCTGGGAGATCCGGAAGGATGCCTGTAGGACAATGAAGTGACGTTACCATGTGCGTGTTGTCAGCGCATGGATAATTTTCTCTTCTCAGGAAATGGCTGCAGATGCGACAAACCAAGCTCTAAAAAGCAAAAAGAAGAAGAGGAGGAGGAAAGCCAAAGGTGGGCATGTCCCGAGGGATCACTTTGTCCCAGCCATGGCACGTTGTAGCAATAGTTGGCAAGCATTTTCGACGTGACATCTGTCTTAACCGCTTTTCCAGGTCTGCCTATGATTCTGAACTGCTGTAAGCTTGTCATCATGGCTGGCTATAGGCTGTAGCCAGCTAGGTTGCGCACCCTCACAGCACACTGCTCCTTTTGTGTATGCCGATAATTACTGGGAAGCTGTGCGATGCCAGGTGCAGCGTCGTCGGCCACAAAGTCTGTACAGAGCACCTCGGATGGAATGCTTGACGCGAAGGATTTGGCCTTCTACACAATTTGACACGTTGCTGGCGCATCTCCATGGTGAAGCTGGCGTGTGCACAGAGCAGCAGCGTGGCATGGAGTTGCTGCAATTTGCTCCCTGGTTTGGCATGTGACGTTCATTCTGCCAGTCACTGCAGCTTGCCCTTGCTTTCTAGGCACAGCCCTTTCCGAGCCGGCCCCGCCTTCGGCGTCCAAAAAGGATCGCCCAAAGCGTCCCCCGGCAGCAGAACAGATCCCCTCGAAGAGAGTGCGGATTGCTTCGCCTGACACTTCACCTGACCCCAGGCAAGAGGAGAAAATCACATGTGGAAAAGGAGGAGACCACTCCGCCCAAAGGCTGCTCTTTGTGCTCACCAGAGTCACTAGACGATGAGGAGCCGCTTCACTGGCTGTACTTGTATGCGCTTCAGAAGAAACTTAAGACTCAAGACTTCCGGCAACAAGAGCTAATGTTTGGGTTGATTCTCTCGTCGAACGTTGCCGGCGATGCGCAGTGCAAACTTACTACAATGCTGCCCCGAAGTGTATGCTGGTCGTCTTGTGTTTCGCGATTCTTCGTCGTAGTGCAGCAGGCAAGCGGATGGCTTCTCCCGAGGGAACGACGCCAAAGCGCGACAGGTCCGACTGCAACCCTACTGCAGCCAAGCGACACATGAAACTGGAAATGCATTTTGCATAGCTGTTTCTGGCGAACTTTGTGCGAAGTCCACGTTAACAAAGTCCGAAGAGTGCAGTGAGAGTGCACACTTGGGCTCAGACATCCGCACCACTTTGAGCTAGTTGGAAGCCATCCAGCTGAGTTTCTGTTCAACAAGAACTCGGCCAAGAGACATCCGGCGAGGTGCGAAGACAGACTGACATGGGTGATGCAATACACGGTATGCCCTGGATGGTTGCGAGACGGATGACCTTGTCCAAGACTCCAGAGGTGAGGGGCGCCGAAGACATCATGTCTGTGAGCTCCGGAAGTGACAACACGGACTATGGTGTGATTGAGTGCTGGACTCAGATCTCGTGCCTTTGCAACGCAGCAGGCAGTCAGATAAGGTAGGCAAGCCGCAAGGTGAGAGTGCCTGGTGTTAGCCATCATGACTTGAGTCAGGCAGATGTTTTCCTCGAAGTTCCACCTATTCCATTTCTTCGTAGAAGTAGCCCGTTGGCCGCCTGAACACCAACTTTGGACATCGCACACCTTGAATAATCTGACTCTAGCCGACCCGTGCCTGCAATGTGCGAGCATATGCAACACGAATATCTGCCACAGTTGCCGATTCATCTCGGAGAACGATGCAGCCCTTGGACTGCGTCGCCGGATCCAGCGCCACAAGACGCGGGCACTGGAGGAGGCAACAAGGAACTTGTTCGGCTAATTTCTCTTTGGCGACAGTCTCGGTTCCTGTCTACTGCTTGTTGCTTACATAGCAACACGTAGTACTTCTTTAACGCATTGTTACAGGGTATACTGATGTTCATAAACCGAGTGGCAGCAGCTACGACAAAATTCCAATGCTGCTCGCGACTTCGTGCGAAGCTGCCAGTGCCGCTCGTCAGGCGAAGAAGGACGAGAAGAAAGCAAGAAAAAAGGCGAGAGTCGACGCCAAATGATGGAACGATACTGCTGTAGTCTTAGATGTTTGCTGCATCGATCCGTGAGCAACTTCAGCAAGACTACGATGCCCCCCATGATTCTTAAGCAAGTTGGGGAGAGCGGCCGGTCGAACGAGTTTGTGTGGTGATCGGCTGAGATGTGAAAGTTCGTGATGAGGCAAAAAAGGCAGCAAAGCGCGCCCTGAAAGCCAAGCGCAGCTTCTCAACATTCGTCACTGACGTGCTGTATAGTTACGGCCTAGCAACGTCCTCGCAGGAAATGCAGCACGACTCTGATGCCTGACACCGTTTGAATCCGTCCTTGGCCGCTCCCATCCCAGGAAAGGCGGACTCGGCAGAGGCAGTTGCTGGCTGCAGGCATCCTTTGCATGCTCATGTTCGAGCACATTTAGGCAGAGGCTGCCCTACCTGTACCTTTGAGCTGTTATAAGCCGTAAGTGTGTATACTCTGCATGTACACATAGAGAGAGAGAGAGAGAGA